CCCGGGCCGCCAGCAGCGGAGCGCACTCACTTAACCGCTAAGCCACGGGGCCGGCCCTATAGAGGTTTGCCTTGTTTCCCAACATATAGTCTATCCTTGAGAATGTTCCATGCGCACTTGAGAAGAATGTGTAATCTGCTGTTTTTGGATGGAGTGCTCTATATATATCTACGAAGTCCATTTGGTCTAGTTTTTCGTTTGAGTCCACTATTTCCTTATTGACTTTCTGTCTGGATGATCTATCCGTTGATGTAAGTGGGGTATTAAGATCCCCTTCTATTATTCTGTTGTTGTTGATATCTCCTTTTAGGTTTGTTAATAGTTGCTTTATGTACTTTGGTGTTTCCTGTGTTGGGTGCATACATATTTATAAGTGATATGTCTTCTTGGTGGAGTGTCCCTTTTAACACTGTATATTGGCCCTCTTTGTCTTTCATTACCTTTTTTATCTTGAAGTCTACTTTGTCTGATTTAAGTATGGCAACACTTGCTTTCTTTTGTTTACCATTAGCTTGGAGTATCATCTTCCGTCCCTTCACTCCAAGCCTGTGTTCGTCTTTAGAACTGAGATGTGTTTCCTGGAGGCAGCAAATTGTTGGGTCTTGTTTTTTAATCCATTCAGCCACTCTGTGTCTTTTGATTGGGGAATTCAATCCATTTACATTTAAAGTGATTATTGATATATGAGGGCTTAATGCTACCATTTTATCGCTTGTTTTTCAGTTGTTATGTATTTCCCTTGTTACTCATCCTGTGTATTTTGGACTGCTAATTCAGTTTGCTGGCTCTCTATGATGATTTTCTCAGTTCTCTCTTTATTTATCATTTGTATCATTTGTATCTGGTTTTTTGTTTAGTGGTTACTGTGTGGTTTGTATAAAAGATCTTGCAGATGAGATAGTCTGTTCCCTGATAGCCTCTTGTTCCCTTAGTCTAAGCAGGTTTCATCCCTTACCTCTTCCCCTTCTAAGTTGTTTTTGTCACAACTTATTCCATTATGTGTTGTGAATTTGTGGTTAAAATGGAGTGCTAATAGTTATTTTCAATGTTTTCCTTCCTTTATATTTAGGGTTATAATTAAGTGTTTGTGAATCTGTTCTGATAGAGAGTTGCAATTTTCTGATTTTGTCTGCCTATGTATCCCATTGCTCAAGGCCTTGTAACTCCTTTCTTTCTTTTTTTTTTTCAGGTACGAGGGCCTTCTTGATCAAATCTTTTAGGGGGGTTCTTGTGGCAATGAACTCCCTCAGCTTTTGTTTATCTGGGAAAGTTTTGATTTCTCCATCATATCTGAAGGATATTTTCACTGGATATAGTATTCTTGGCTGAAAGTTTTTGTCCTTCAAAATTTTAAATATATCATTCCAGTCTCTCCTAGCCTGTAAGGTTTCTGCCGAAAAATCCACTGAAAGCCTGCTAGGGCCTCCTTTGTAGGTTATTCTCTTCTGCTTTGCTGCCATTAATATTTTTTCTTTGTCATTGACTTTTGCCAGCTTTAATAATATATGCCCTGGAGAAGGTCTTTTACAGTGATGTAATTAGGAGTTCTGTTGGCTTCTTTTTTTTTTTTTTGTGAGGAAGATCAGCCCTGAGCTAGCATCCATGCTAGTCCTCCTCTTTTTGCTGAGGAAGACCAGCTCTGAGCCAACATCTATTGCCAATCCTCCTCATTTTTTTTTCCCCAAAGCCCCAGTAGATAGTTTTATGTCATAGTTTCACATCCTTCTAGTTGCTGTATGTGGGACGTGGCCTCAGCACGGCCAGAGAAGCGGTGCGTCAGTGTGCGCCCGGGATCCGAACCCGGGCCGCCAGTAGCGGAGCACGCGCACTTAACTGCCAAGCCACGGGGCCGACCCTCTGTTGGCTTCTTATACATGTAATTCCAGCTCCTTCTCCAGATTTGGGAAATTCTCAGTTATTATTTTTTTGAACAAGCTCTCTGATCCTTTTCCTCTGTCTTCTCCCTCTGGAATACCTATAATCCTGATGTTGCATTTCCTAATTGAGTCTGATATTTCTCATAGAATTTCTTCATTTCTTTTTAGTCTAAGTTCTCTCTCCTCCATCTGAAGCATTTCTGTGTTTCTGTCCTCCAGATTGCTAATTCTATCCTTCTTATTATCAGCTCTGTTTTTTAAGGACTCTAGATTTTTCTTTATCTCATCCATTGTGTTTTTCATCTCTAACAATTCTGTTTGGTTTTTCTTTATAGTGTCGATCTCTTTTGTGAAGAATTCCCTGCATTCAGTAATTTGGTTCCTGATTTCATTGAACTATCTTTCAGAATTCTCTTGTAGCTCATTGAGTTTTCTCATGATGGCTATCTTGAATTCTTTGTCGTTTAGATTGTAGATTTCCATGCCTTCAGGATTGATTTGTGGGTGTTTGTCTTTTTCATTCTGGTCTGGAATATTAATATATATTTCTTTATACCATTTGATGGAGTGGATTCATGCTGGTGCATAGTGATAGTTTCTGGACACAGGTTCTACCTGCCACCACTTGGCGGGGGGCAGGAGCTGTGTGATCTGAGCCCGCTGCCGCCATCCGTCTCAGCTGTGCCTGTCCGAGCCTGGGTCACTCCTTGGGATTGCAGTGGCCCTGTGGGGTCTCCCACCGAATGGGAAAGAAGTTACGTAGAGGGCTCAGGGCTGCTGTCACCTGCTTCCACAGTCCCAGTAAGTTGTGCTCCCCACTTTGGGGCCCCAGCAGTACTATGGCCATTGATGGCAGCCAGGGGCTCATTTGGTTTCTGCTGCCCTCTGCTGCTAGGTTGCACCAGCCATTGTGCTTGGTGGGCAGTACCTCCCGTTTGGGATGGAGCCAAAGCTACTCCCTGGGACTGGGTGGGATTGTGGATTCTCCTACCAGATGAGAGAGTAATCACATGGGGGCTCAGGGCTACTGCCACCTGCTCCCACAGTCCCACTGAGACATGTTTCCCCTCTTCAGGGCTGTAGCAGTACTATGGGCATTCATGGCAGCCGGGAGCTTGTTTGCCCGGCCTGGGATCTCAGCCGCCCGCAGCTCCTAGGTCGCACCAGCCGTTGTGCTTGGTGGGCGGGACCTCCCCTCTGGGACTGAGCCAAAGCCACTTCATGGGACTGCGGTGGGATTGTGGTTTTTCCCACCAGACGAGAGAGTGATCACACGGTGGCTCAGGGCTACTGCCGCCTGCTCCCACAGTCCTGCCAAGATATGCTTCCCCTCTCCGGGGCTGCAGCAGTATTATGGGTGTTCACGGCAGCTGGGAGCTTGTTCACCTGGGTGGCAGCTTAGCTGCCCTCTGCTCCTAGGTCGCATCAGCCTTTGTGCTTGGTGGGCGGGACCTCCCCTCTGGGTCCAAGCCTGTGCCGCTCTCTAGAGGGCTCTCCCTCTAGGCGGGGAAGTGATTACCCAGGAGGCTCAGTCAGGGCTGCCATCACCTGTTTCCACAGTCGCGTTGAGGCACGCTCCCACCCCTGGGGCCGCAGCAGTGCTGTGGTTGCTCCAGCTGGGAAAATAGTTGCATGCATGCGCTGGGCTGCCTGGGGTCCACAGGGTGCTCACCTGTCTCCTCCACCTAGCTGGGGGTAGTCCATCCACCTTCAGATGTATAGCTGCGCAGGTCTCTCAGACGTCCTGATGTGCTGTGTGGGTATCCTCTGCTGATCAATGAATGTCATTTTAGTTGGGTTCGAAGGGGAAGAGACACAGGGAATAGCTCACTCTGCCATGTTGCTGATGTCACTCCTATTTTGGTAAAGTTTTACAAACACTTGGAAAGAGTGTTTTGTTGGTTGTAGAATTTTGTATATGTTAAGTCAAGTTTTTCAATTGTCTTATTTTTCTGTATTGTTAATTTTTTTTGCTTACTTTTTCTATCAGGTACTGAAAGAAGAATGTTAAAATATCTCACTAACAGGATCCTATAAATCAATAAGAAAAAGATATTTCAATGTTTTATAAAGACACTTCAACCCTATAGAAATATGGGGAAAAGACTTGAACTTCACAAAAGAAGAGATCCAAATGACAAGCTTATGAAAACGTGTTGGGTATCATTGGTCATCAGAGATTTGCAAACTAAAATCACAGTGAATTAAATACCATCTCAACCAAAAAGGATAAAATTAAAAGACTGAAATATCTAGTTGTAGCAATGATGTGGGGCACATGGAACTCTCATACATCACTGATAGGCATACAAGTTGGCACAACCACTTTAGAAAACTATTTGACAGTGTCTTTTAGAGTTAAGCATACACATACTCTGTGAATAAGCAAGTCTACTTGTGGGGATTTATCCAAAAGAAATGAGTGCATATATCCACCAAAAGCCAGGTACAAGAACAAGTATAGTGAAAATTCATAAACAACCCAAATTTCCATCAACAGTAAGATAGATAAGTCATGGGATATTCACACAGTGGAATGTTACACAGGAGTGAAAATGAACAAACTGCTGCTGTGTCACAACATGGATGAATTTCATAGACATAATATTGATCAAATACATACTATATGTATGAAGTTCAAGAACAGGCAAAACTGATTTATGGTGATAGAGTTCAGAATAGTGTTTACATCAGGGATGATATTGACTAGGAAGGGAACCTTCTGAGACTCTGGAAATGTTCTGTATCTTAATGGAGTCGTTAGTTATGTGGTTGTATATATATATATATATGTAAAATTGATTGAGTGTATACTTAAGATTTTTGTGCTTTATTGTATGAAGTTATAGCTTAAAAAGTAAATAAAACAGGCGGGACTTCCAGCTATAGCTGAGTGAGGAGATCGACAAATCCTTAACCCAAAAAGCAACTATAAGCTTGACAAAACCATTTCAGCACTCTTGAAATCAACCAAAAAGCATACAACAATCTGAGTAAAGTGTATAGTTGAAAAACTGCTGAAATTCAGTAAGAACAGTAGGAGTCTGTGGTGTTCTTGCTGAGGACTCTTCCTATTCCCTTCCATCAACTAGGTTGGCATGGAGGTTTCGCCAGTGTGGATAGGCCATGAGGACTGGCAGTTTTGATGCTGTGGTTGAAGGGAGCTTTCTCATTTTGGGTAGTGGATGATGCTCGTGCCCAGCAGCGTTGTCAGTGGAAGTGACCATTTTGGCAATTGACGAGGGAGGTGGGCCAGCGGCTCTACTAGACTGAGGTGTGTTTGTGGTTGGGGCAAACATATTGCTGGCTGAGGTTGCGTACATGCACAGAGTAGACATGATAAGACCCAATAGAAAGGAAAAGCCAGGGCAGTCTTGAGAATGTCCAGAACTTTGAATGTGCTACCCTACCCCACACATAGACATAGGAACAGAGTACAAAAAGCCTTATTGGCTTCAGGTGTTTGGGCATAACCCCTGCCTAATCACTGGCTGACATCTAAGCTGTGCAGACATAGAGGTAACCCTTTAGAAAGCAGGTGTAAACATAAAAACAAGCAATAAAAAGAAAATGAACTGAGGCATCACTGGCTGTATACTTCAGGGGAGACAGATTTCACAGATTTAGCCCAGGCAAGTTATTAAGCCAAGAAAGAAAAAGCAAGCAAACAATAGTAACAACAACAACCTTCATGGGTAAAGAAATCAGAATCCAGAGTTGCTACAGTAAATTATTGAGTGTGTTAAGTTTTCAGCAAAAAATCATGAGGCATGAAAAGAAATAGGAAAATATGCCCATATCTAGGAAAAAAAGAATTCAGTAGAAACTCCCCAAGTGTCTGTGGATGCTGGATTTAGCAGACAAAGTCTTCAAAGCAGCTCTCATAAATGTGTTCAAAGAACCAAAGGAAAACATGTTTAAAGAATTTTTGTAAAGTATGACAACAACAAATCAATAAAGAAAATTCTCAATAAGGAGAGAGAGATAAAAAAGAAGGAAATGTCATTAAAAAGGATATACAGATGACAAATAAGGATGTGAAAAGATGTTTAACATCATTAGCTATTAGGGAAGTGCATATTAATATAACAACAGTGAGGTATTACTACACACCTATCAGAGTGCCTAAAATAAAAACTAATGACAACACCAAATGGTTGCAAGAATGTGGAGAAATTGAATCATTTGTACGTAGTTGGTGGGAATGTAAAAGGATACAGCCATTCTGGAAGATAATTCGGAAATTTCTTATAAAACTAAATATTTACCATAAGATCCAACAATTTCACTTCTAGTTATATACCCATGAGAAATGAGAACATATGTCCACATAAAAACTTGTACATGAATGTCCTTAGCAACATTACTCATAATAGCCAGAAAGTGGAAACAACCCAATATCCATCAACTGGTAAATGGATAAACAAAATACGGTATGTCCATACAATGGAAAATTATTTGGCCATAAAAAGAAATGAACTACAGATATATGCTACAACATTGAAAGAATTATGCTAAGTGAAATCACAAAAGACCACATATTATATCATTCCATTGATATGAAATATCCAGAATAGGCAAATCTATAAAGAGAGAAAGTAGATTAGTCTTTGCCTAGGACTGGGGAGGGGCTTGGGGGAAATATGAAGTGATTGTTACTGGGTACGGGATTTCTTTCTGGAGTAAGGAAAATGTTGTAAAATTGATTGTGATGATGGTTCACAACTATGTGAATATACCAAAAACCATTGAATTATACACTGTAAATGGCTGAAATATATCATATGTGAATTATATCTCAATAAAGTTGTGAAAAATATTTTTAAATGAGTTTAGCAAGGTCACAGGCTATAAGATCCATATACAAAAATCAGTTCTATTTCTATATACTAGCTAGCAGTGAACAAGCAAAAAATGAGATTAAAATAATTTCATTCACAATAGCGTCAAAAAGAGTAAAAGACTTAGGAAAAAATTTACCAAAAAAGGTGTAAGGCTTGTACATTAAAAATTATAGAACATCGCTGAAATTCAAGGTCTAAATAAATGGAGAGACAGTCCATGTTCAGGGATTGGAAAACTCAATATTGTTGAGATGTTGATTTTCCCTAAATTAATCTATAGATTGACAGCCCATATCAAAATCCCAGCAGGCATTTTTTTTTTCTTTCTAGAATTTGACAAGCTGATCCAAAAATTTACATAGAAACCCAAAGGACCTAGAATAGACAAAATAATTTTAGAAAAGGAGAGCAAAGTTGGAAGATTTAGATGACCTGATTTCAAAACCTACTATAAAGCCATGGTTATCAAGGCCGTATGGCATTATTGCAAGGATAGGCATATATATATCAGTGGAACAGACTTTAGAGTCCACAACTAAACCTTTATATATGTGGTAGGTTGATTTTCAAAAGAGGTACATCCTTAATCCAAGATCTTTTCCAAGATCTCTGCTTGGAAAAGCCCCAGTGTAAAACCGTCTCTCACAGTGTGTGCTGCAGTTTAACTCAGGCTACACCACAGTCAAGCCAGCTATACCACTGTCTGCCAGATAAACTGCTACGTCATCCTTGGTACTTGGCATGTTACAATGCTGGGATCAGTGTTGGCTTCTAGTTGGATTTTGTGCCAGATATGGGTCTGCTTTGGACAGTCTCTATTTATGGTAGGTTAAAATAGGGATGCTTTGAATTTGGAGGAATGAATGTGGCTTTTTATTTCTTGTGTTCTAATATTACAGAAAGATTGTGAGCAGCATCCATAAAATATTAGAAACTCTAGCTTTGTTTTTGGATGTGGGTGTGCTGTTAGTGTTTGGTTGTTTTAGAAAGATCCCTTTGGTGATAGGAAGCACAAACTTGATTACTGAGTGTGCCTCTTTGGTGTATTTTTCTGATAGAATCGAAGGCAAAATAGCCTGCTTTATTCTATACTCAATGCTTTATTTGGTTTTTGAATGTGGAACTTATATAACAAAGGCAGAGAGTGATTCTCTTTTGGGAACTGTCTCCATCTGGAGACACTTAAATGTGTGTAAAATTGAGCTGCTTCTACATCTATGGTCACTGTAGTTGTTCTGAACAAAGGCCTCAGTGCTCTATTTTTGAGATGTGTTATTCTGAAGAGACATAAAGATAGGAGGGCTCCTCTGTGTCAGCTTGGTTCTTTAAAGGAAAAAGTAAACTTGACCGACTTGATCAGGCATTGGCATAGTATGGAAGGAATGATGCAGAGTGGTACAGACAAGAAAACAATCACGACTTTCATTTTTTATTGTGGCTGGTAGTCATGTTGAGTGGCCTGATTGAGTCTTTTCAAGTTGGGTCCGCTGAATGTCCTAAGATCAAGATTTGTTTGTTTTAATCACTTATCTTCTATTTGATTGTTCATCTTCTGGCTATGCTCCAGGTCATTTGTGTGCTTCTGTTTTGGAGGTTTTTTATGGAAGGTTAATAGGTTCTCAGCATAGTTCGCATCAGATTATTAGCTATTTTTATCCAGCATTTTGGTGGGAAATAATTTTTGTATGGTGCATGAATCAGGTTAGATATGACTCTGGTGAATTGTACCATTCCTGAGGACTAGTCTCAGGAAGTTGTGATTCTGTAGATCTAGCTGTGAGAGTCTTTCCTTGGGTTACAAGGGAGCAGTATCATGAGCATTTCCTTAAAAGCTATAACAGGACT